CTTTGCTGGCCTCTCTGTCAGGCTGTCGTCGGATGTCCACCCCCAGATGGATGGGGCAGAAGACTAAGCTAAGTATTTTGTGTGAGTAAGAGGTCCAGCTAATTTTCATGTGTCCCAGGTTAAACCTGCTGCAACTTCTAGGTTTGTGGCAGCTCCAGAAACCTCCACCCATCTGACTCATCAACAGGGAGCCTGTGTGCACAGCAAACCTCCTGAGGTCCAGGAAGAGAGGCAAAGGGATGCAGTACTTGGTGGACTGGGCCAGTGGAAAGGTCCTGGATTCCTGCAAGGTTCATCTTGGACAAGAGCTCAATTAAGAATTTTCATAGGGATCATCCTGACCAGCCCAGAAGGGCGTTTGGGGTGTTCTGTCATGATCTTGGTGCTGATTAATTTACCTGCCTAGCTCTGCCAAGTTTCTCATTACTGCTCATCTGTTTCAACTGCTTGGAATTTGCTGCAAAATAACTTGAAACTTAGTAAATTGGTTCCTTTGAATACTTTTAAGCTCAGAATTAGATATTTTGAGTTGGTCTCCCTCACATGTCAATGTTTTAATTGAAATTTTATTGTAAGTGCATATTTGGTTTTTATGTGTGTGTCTTTGTACGTATGTAATGATGAGATGTAATTTTGATGCCTATCTTGGCCAGGTCTCCCTTGCAAAAGAGATTTTTAATCTCAATGGGTATTACCTGGTTAAATAAAGGATAAAAAAAAAAATAATAATAATAAAATAAACTGCTTCATCCTCTACTTAGCCTGCCTTCTTCCAGTCATCAGTGCCAGATTAAATGGGGCCCCTTGGTGACAGTCTTTTAGCATGTCTTATTGTTTGCTGATTGCCTGATCCCATTCCACCTTTGGAATTCTGAGCCTGCCTGTTCCCATTCTGATCTGTTTGCCTGATCTGTTTTCGGACTCCTGCTGGATTCTGCCTGTCTACCAAATCTGGTACTGACTGAAGTAAACATCATCCTCTGGGCATGGACTAAACTATATGACCAGGTTAATGACTCACACGTTCATCATCCTCTACCAGATTGACGTGGTTACTAACCTGCGTTCTCTTCCTGCAGGGGTTCCTGCCTTATACATCCTCGCTGTTCAATGCAGATAAACACTTTTTTGAGATATCAAACTGTCTGTCTGCTTTTAATACTGGGTCCTCTGTTCTGAGCCTTGACATGGTGATTTTGGAAGTAGATAACAAACCAGTAGATCCTAATTATCCCTATTACTAAGATCCACAACGAACATAACGTGTTTGGGCAGAAACTGCATTTGTGATTGATGCTGATGGTGAATTTTACTTATGTCATATTAAATTAGGCATTAATTACCGCATGTTTTGCTTTTATGAATTAACAAATAATAATGTTGCACTCTGTGGACAGGAGCAACTAAAAAGGAGCTAAGAGAAAAGAAAAGAGACACTAGGGGGCAACAAAGAGTAGCCAGGGAAATACAGGATCCAACTGTAACTAGGAAAGAATATAAATGAAGCTAAGGGAAATAAAACTAATGGCTACAACTAAAACTAGTCCAAAGAATAGATAATGCCACAAAAGCTGGACAGAGATAACTGAAAGAAATAAAAAGGGAGAGTAAAACTAAGAATTCATAAAGTAAGAATCCAAAGAGAGTCCAACCCGCCCCCATTCTTGCCCTTCTTGAGGGAGGGCAAGAAACAAAAACACAAACCAGAATACAAAAAAACTAGCAAAGATGGACTACTGTGAAGCAGAGTCTCTGGAGGCCGGCCAGGAGGGCAAAGGTGAAGCAGAGTCTCTGGAGGCCATCTATGAGGCCTAAGGCGGAGCAAAGTCGCTTGAAACCAGATGTGAGGCCAGATGTGAGGCCAGATGTGAGGCCAAAGAAAGAACAAAGTCTCTGAAGGCAGGCATTGGGGCCAGAAACGGAGCAAAGTCTCCCCTGATGTTCACACCGGGAAGACACCTGATGGAAGGTCACTCAAGCCAAGGACTAGAATCTGCAGACCTTTTAAATGCTGAGGGGACCTGGTGGCCAATTTTTGAGCCAGTCTACTGCAAAACCAGGCAACACATCTTTCTGAGGCTACAGGAAACATTGAGATGCTAGAAATTGGATGACTGAAGCATCTGAGAAGCTTCCCTGCTGCAGGCCTGACATGCTAAGCTGCTGAATACTGGAAATAATTCACCCTTTTCTAAAATGGATATCAATAGATGTTGCAGGTCTGGCATATTTAGGGAAAGGGTTGTCAGCTAAACAAATTGGGCTTATAAGGATTTTTCAAAATTCTGTGTGTTTACTGTTCTGCAAACTAATATGATGCAAATGGTAATGACATGGTACACCATGAGCTAAAACGAACATTATTTCTCTAAAGGTTTAAACACTGATACAACATTAAGGTTTATGTCTTTCCTCATGTGCTAATCACATATGACCAAAGAATCCTTTAAAGGCACACTATGCAACATTTTTCAGTTAATTAATGTGTTCCATAACGTTATGGATGACTAAATGAGTCATTTCAGGTTGAACAAAGGTATTCTCGGCCGCCCTGGTGGTCTGTGGGGGAAATACCGCACTTGCAATTGCAGGAGCGCCGACCCGCACCCACAAGTCTCGCGAGAGACGGTCTTGCTTTACGGCGAGAACTGCTACACCCCCCAGTTAAAAGCATGCTCGTTGCCAGCGGGATGTACTTGCTGCTTTCACACCGGATGCAGCAAAATCGCGTCTGCTGCTTCATTTTTACTGCTTGTACCAGTTAGTTCTGACGCGCGTTGGGCGGAGCTTCACTATCCTTTCTCTGCCTTGCAGCTATATTTGCTGTGATCAGTGGGAATAAAGTAGTTTTAATATGTTTTTAAGTGAGAAAATACTCCTGAAAACGTAATCAGTGCAGTCAGTTCATTCAGATTATCATCCTGCCTTACAATATTTTTTCTGTGGGAGCCGCTCAGACCCCCACATACCAGCGGTGGCTTCATTCAACAAAAACAATAAATGCTATGTAAGAAGTTAAACCCTGCTTTATAACTTCAAATGAAAAAGAGCACCCTTTGATTTAAAACTGAGATACTGTGCTAATTCACAAGACATGCCATCTCATGTCACTTTACAGACTGTTCGTTCAAATCAGTTAGACATGTTATAGTTTTCTAAAGTAAAACCATCTGATTGCATGGACTTTCACAGATTCAATCCTTCTGGTAAAGCATGTGGCGACAGTAGACATTCACCTGCATTGTGCTTTTAACTCAGGAGCAATTCTTCACACAGATGATGCATGTTGACAGAATAAATATTTCTTTCCTGTTTGCTGTTGTAAGAAAAGAAGGAGACATCATCTTACGTATAACAAAAGGAGATGTTTCCTCCTAATGGTAATGGCAATGAGTATGATAAACTAGCTCCACATGTGGCTTTGTCTGGGAAAAAAGCAGTAATACAGACCAGCTCTGAGTCAGTTTTTAAGTCACATTGATAAAAGGGAGTACAAACAGTTAGTAAAAGTAAAGCTGAGCCCTAATGTATGGGAAAGAATTGGGACAAAGCACTGAGAAGCAGGCAAACTTCTATTATTTATACAGGCATGCCTAATCTGTTCCGTGTCCAAATTCCCATTGGCCTGACATCCTGTTGTGAAATCTATACTAAGTGGCCTCTGAGCACATTTTCACACAGTCAACAAGACACAAATACTAAAAAGAAATTTTAAGGTGGAAAATGTGGATACTATTAGTGCAAATATATCAGCTTTTACTTTGAGTCCCTCTGCTTAATATGAGTTCCAGGCTTATAGAGCAGCACAAGCTGAAACCTTGTTTCTCCCGCTTTATAAGCCTGGAACTCAAAAGCTAATCCAGTCATTTTGAATTGAGAAAGCTTCCTGGATGGTAAGTAAAACCTCTTCAAACTTGGAAAGCAATGTTCAGTGTTTTTTTTTCTAACTTTTCAATTTTGTTGGATTATGACCCAGATGACTGAAAATATTCACCAGCATACCAGAAAAAAATATATACAACACTGGGAAAAAGACATTCTTATCTAAAATTAAAACTTTTTTTTAATATAACTGATAATAATTGGAAATTCCTGAGTAACATCACAACCACTAATTTACCTTCCCCTTTCAGCTGTTTACTTTTAGCACCCAAGGCAGGTTTCCGTTTCCTACCAGGAAATATTACCCCTGGACCAGGGATGACATCACTTTCTCTTTTGATCCTCCCACCTCCAGTAACTCCCTCCCCAAAATTTTAACAAAAGAGACAGAAAAAAATAGTAGCAAAACTTTTGAGCAGCTGATAGTTCCCATAAATATTTATTAAAAAGTATGCTTTTATATACAATTTATTCACTTGACTTTTAAATTCTGGTTAAAAAAAATAAATTCACTCACTAAACACAAGGGTGATGGGCTCATTTCTGTCCTTACAAGCACCACCTGTTCACATAGAGCTGAACAGTGTAACTTTTATCTAACTAGATTAACTAGTAAAGCTTTATGGATTTGAACTTGAATTCTGAACATTGACATGGATGACATCTTTCACAATGATGCCAGAAGGAAGAGTCATTATCAGGTTCCCCCTGTAGGACTTCACTGACCCTGAACATTCAGTCACATTTTCTCCACTTTAAAAAAAAAAAAAAGCATAGTCTGAATCAGTAGTTTGTCTTATTGATCCTGATAAAGTCCACTGTAGAAAAATATTAATCTATTTTTAGATTATTAATCTATTATTAGTGCAAATCAATGCACGTTTTAATGGAGTCCAGCTCCCATCGTTAAAAATCCTCTCTAAACAAAAATTACTACAGTAGGAGAGCGTAGACGTGCGCCATGCAGCAAATGTCCCATCTTGTGACCTACACCTAAAGCTAAAACTCACACCTAATCTGGATCATTACCTAATTTAAATGAATTGATCCTTGGCATGTGGCACACCTCTGGTAAAAATACATTTCCATATAATCCATTCATAAGTTTTCATTCATTCTTCTTAAAAAAAACATTCCCATTCGCTTTCGTCTTCAGTGAAAGTAAAATTCAGTAAAATTATAATAAAAAATATCCTGTTCACATCAACTTAATAAGGAGTTAGAAAACCAATACCTGTTAAACCCACATTATATACGTTCAGTAACAACGATATAACACTCCAGTTGATTATTATAACATCGAAAACATGTCAGAAAGTACAGGCAAAACAAAAGGATTTTTTTTTTTTTTTTGTTACAGATGGGAACAGATTCACTTGCTCATCTTTTCAGAAAAGACATGAAAACCTGCTGGAACCAGATATTATCTTCAGATCATCCATCTGATTCACCTTATGTTACTGGTTTTATCATAACTGGCAGATATGAGTGCATCACTACAAATCTGAGGTCTGGAGTAATTAAGAGATTTGTCACATTAAATCAGAACAGAAATATTGCAAAACCTCTCATTTGATTGGGATATAAATCTTAGCAAATGCCTTTCGTCGACACAGGCTATATGACAGAGCTATATCAGATGCCCTCCTCAGGGGGAAGTGATGTCATCCTTGATAGTCTCCCTTCTTTGTTTGCTGTAGACGGATAAATATGAAAGTCTTAATGTAGTGTCTGTCAAATAGATTTTTCAATAAATACCTGTATAAACATAAAACTTTATTAAGCCCAATGACCCCAAAGCACTTCCTACTGCATTAGGTCATTCAACAAACCAACAAACTTGAGTCATTTTTGTCTGAGAATTTAGTTTCATCAAATAGATTAAAACCCTTAAGAGGGTAAATTAAGAGGAAGTGTACAGGTTTAGGGTTCAATGCTTTATTTATAGTGGTATGAGTGTAATTTTAAAAACAGCTTAATGATTTTAAACCATTCGAGTGTGTTATATTACAATACTATACTTAATGGGCAAGTGAGATGAGAATAAACTTTTCAAATTGTCACCTAAATAAAAAAAAAAGAAAACTTACAAATAAGCATTCCCAAGGGCACCAACAACCAGAAGAAGGACAAATACTGGAAAGACTGACAAATACACTCTGCGAAGCTCTTTAGACTCAGATGTATTACCTACAAAAAACAAATATTATTTGCAACAATTAGTTTTCTTCAGTAATTAAAAAACATTAGAACTAATTTAAAGATGGTTGCAGTAATACATTTATATAGATAGCATTGCGGTGGCATCATACATTATAGTGTGAGCTTAGCGGCGATTGCCGCCATCTTGAGAGAGGCATGCATTTGCTTAGCGACCACAGAGGAAGACAGTACTCTCAGTAGGTTTTACACGTGGTTTGAGTCTTAATGATCTTATGAATACCAAGAAAACCTTGTACTAAACATGAGGGCAGATATAATGAAAAATTTGCTCTACTCCACTGAGGAAACAGTGCCAGGGCATGGAGCAGCTACAGCCAATCAAGACTAGCTGAAGAGGCTAACTGCGGAGGATCAAGGAAGCATGGCAGATGATGTCTTTTGTCCCATCCTTTGTAAGGGTTGCACCTGTTTTTCTGCTGGAGAATGCTGCAGAAAATACCGAATGCTTTCTCGGTTGGAAAATGATAAAAGATGGTTTATCTACCTCCCAGGCATGACTACTGCATTCGTTTATGAAATTTTGATTTCAGAAGTGGGGGGGATGCAAGTATTTTTTAATATAACGAACTTCAGGGTGTTTGACCATCCAATCAAAGAACCAAGCAGATGTTTGTAAATTGAGCTTTTCAAAACTGACAAAGGTGAAACCCAATCACACAAGAAAAGACGGTGAGCCAATCAGGAGCTTGTGGGCGGTCTAAAGCTGCGGTTTTCCACTTGGTCCTAGTGCTTAACAAATGTCTGCGTAATTAGGCATATCATTGTTTTTGGAAAGTAAAATGTGCAGGAGAGCAAAACCAAAATTTGAAAAAGTGCAGGGGACATGTCCCCCCCCCAAAAAAAAAAAACATTACTCCCATGACTGCATTTATAAACAACACAAGACTTCTGTATCATGGCCAGTTTTACAGTAGGCCTATCTACAGTTCCTATCTACGGTTGCTGTCCATCAGAACACATTAATAAGGAAAGTTGGCTTTATTGCCAGCTGTTTTAGAAAAAATTTACAAAAATATGCAAGGTTTAGCATGGCGAGTAATTGGCATTAGCTTTAGTGATAAAAGCCTATATAAATATATATATATATATATATATATATATATATATATATATATATATATATATATATATATATATATATATATATATATATATATATATATATATATATATAAATAAACAAGTAAAGAAGTGTGATGGAGCTCCTGAAGTAAAATTTTATTGGGCAAAAATTTAAGACAAATCACTGGAACCTGCTGTTTTCTGTAATGTCAGGAAATGTTAATTAAGACTTCTGTACCTGTTGACTGATAGGTTGGTATTACTGTTCATGAGCAAGGTGCTTTAATTTGTTTTTTTTTAGGCCCGAGCATCAAAGCACTGCGAAGGTCTTGTTAGTAGATTCTTTTTATGAATAAAAAGTTTAAATTAATATTTTATTATACTTAATTAGCAGTTAGTAAATTTTGATTTTTTTTGTATTACTTTTTTTCTATTTTGTGTTATTTGAATTACTAGTGTAAATGTATCATCTTTAATGGTAGAGTATGTAAACTTTCAAGCAGAACTGTATATAGTGACAGAAGCAGTCATTACTACGCTGTTGTTTACCCCTCCTGTAATGGTGTTGCATGGTCATCAGATGTGATATCCCGAATGCATGACGTGATACTATCTATAAAAATGACACATATACATATACATAGAACTGACCTGCAGATGGTTTCTGCTTGACTTCTGTTGAGAGAAAGAAATTTAAGAATTGAAACTTTGATACTGTCCATCAGAACACATTATTAAGGAAAGTTGGCTTCATTTGACAGCCGTTTTAGAAACATTTTACAAAAATATCCAAGGTTTAGCATGGCGAGTTATTGGCATTAGCTCTAGTGATAAAAGCCTCTATATATATATATACATATATATATATATATATATATATATATATATATATATATATATATATATATATATATATATATATATATATATATATATATATATATATATATATATATATATATATATATTAAAAAATAAGTAATTTTCTAAGAAGCTTTATAAAAATTAACTGAAACTTAAATTGTCAAGTTTTTAATAAGCTTAACATAATTGGATCTGATAAAGAATTATCTTATTGAACAGTTGGAAAATCTACTATAAATGCTATATTGAAAAATAAAGAATAATAGAATAAATAATAAGAATTATATGACTCACCTAAATTCACACAATGTGTTTTGTATCCACTATTATTAAAAGAGCATATATATTTCCCATTGTCCGCTTCTGTTATGTTCTTCAGCTGTATAGAGCAGTAGCCTTTGGTTTCACTTGGAATATGTTTCAATCTGTTCTCATAACCATTCAAAGGCAGTATTAGTTTTTCATCAAACTTACAAACCGGCTTTTCGCCGCCTTTTTGCCACTTAGAACAGTTCGGACAGATAATACAGTTACATGGCAAAACGACATCTTCATTGATGTAATCAGTTACGTTTTCCTCAGAATCACCTAGAAAAGAACAGATGACAAAGCATGAGTATGCACACAGAAACAATAGTTGGGGTCTTGGGGGGCTCTTTTCATCAAGATCTATTAAATATAATCATTCCACTTGACTGTTGAAGTTAAACTGTTAACTGAGGTGTTATTAGTTTAAGGGTCGGGTCCAACTGTTTTGTTTGTTTTACTACCTAATTTTATCTTAATTTGCTTTTTATTCTTGCCTTGCTTAAACTTGCCTTGCCTTGCCTAAAATACAAGTATTTCTTTCAGAACTCCCCTTTCATGGATCATAGACAATATTTGACTGGTAAAATACCGCTGTTTTGTACCTTATATGATCTCTGCCTCTCAAGAACCGCGGTTAAGTTGGTTTGAAGTTGGATATTGGATAGTCAAGCTCAGCGGCGAGATCTAGCAAATGGTTGAGGGACTCTGATGTCAGCCAGCGTCTCTTAGCTGCTCCCTCCTCACATACGCGGAGGTGCATTTAGGGACCGTCAACAAATCTTTTAACCAAGCACTCTTGAGAAACAAACATTAATAAATTCCTTATCTTATGACCAGCTATGACGAAACTAATATAAAACCATGCCAATAGAAAACTAAGGCACACTTGCTTTTATGCAATTTTAAGCTATTTTCAATTTTTAAGATATTTTTAAAGACAAAAGTTGGGACTTTTCTTCAAGTCATGTAACCCACTGACTCAAATTCTTTGTGTAATAGTTTTACTACATTATCCCGATGAGGCACACTCACATAGATTTGGAGTCAGTGGGTCACATGACATGGAAGCTATTGAAGAAATATCAATTTTGTATTATAAAAAATGTCAAAAATATATATACAAAGGCCTAAAATTGAATAAAAATGAGTATGCCTCATCAGACTATTGTAGTAAAACAATTTCACAAAGAATGTGAGTCAGTGGGTCACATGACTTGGAAGCTATTGAAGAAAAGTCCCAACTTTTGTCTTTAAAAAATCTTTAAAAATTGAAAATTGCTTAAACTTGCATAAAAGCCTTACATATTTTATCTATTTGGCATGGTTTCATATTAGTTTCGTCATAGCATGTCATAAGAAAAGGAATTTATTAATGTTTGTTTCTCAAGAGTGCTTGGTTGAAAGATTTGTTGACGGTCCCTAAATGCACCAGCGCGTGTGAGAAGAGGGAGCTGCTGGGAGACGCTGGCCGACATCAGAGTCCCTCAGTCGAATCAACTCTGAGCTAGGTCCCGCTGACTGCGCGGAGCTTGAATATCCAAAGTCCAACTTCAAACTAACTTCACCGCGGTGCTGAACCACTTCATTGCACAACATTATAGCCTACTAAATGCGGAAAAAGAAAAATCAAATGTTACCCCCTCTTAACCAAGAAGGAAAACTGACGAATCCGTCAGTGGCGAATAAATAATGAGCAAGTTGCTAGAACTGGTTAAATGAACACTTTTCTGGTTTTATTTAAAGCCACTACTGTAGAGCGATGTTGCAATCCTCACTTTATTTCAGAGTCTTGGCTCTGAAAACTCTCAGAGGAATAATGTGGGTTGAAAACAGCCGGAACCAATCCAGGGATTATGATATCTGCTTTTTCTCTCCCAATAATACAGTCAGATACCCTGAACATTTTTTGCTTTTATTCAAAGAGGACTACATAGATTCACTATTTGTGAGCAATGACAAAAGAAACTTACAGCCGTTTGTTTCTTGGAGTAGTCCTGTAAACCAACAGACAAACAAACAAAAAAAGCATTAAATACTTGAAGTATTTAGGCATGACTTTTTGACTTTCAAAGTTTGAGACACTGTCGTTTCTTCTATGCAGGACATTGAAGTGAAGGAAACAAAAATTCAACAGTCATGCTGCTTATTACACTAAAAAAACAACCGAGGGCATTGATGAACGTAAGATCTGGCAGAACACAAATTGTGAGGTTTTCACATATTTCAACTTTCTGCATAGTTGCTCTCAGAATAAATAAAAAGGCTGCCTCAGTTAAATGCTTTACAAACTCCTAAATGCTCTATACAAGTTAAGTATTTCTGTAACTTACCTGAGATTGTCACCAGAAAAACTGCCACTAAAAATTGCTGCATTTTGCCCCTTCTTCACCTTCATGCAACCTCTATACTGATTTGTGTCTTTCCATGTCCTTCTGAGTCTGGTCTGTAAGTGAAAGCAAAAATTGAAAGAAGAAAAAAGAAGGAAGAGTGTGATGTCATCTTTCCCAGAAGGAGGGAGAGAGGCACTCCTATACCTCTCTGACCTTAGATGTTTTATAATTTGTTATAGAAATGTAATTGCCGAAGCCATTAAATATTATCTTAGTACTTTTAATGCTACATGCAAAAAGTAATACAGGCATGATTTAGAAATGGGCTTTTACTCTGAAAGCCAATCCCTGGGCATTGTGTTCTGTTTGGGCTTCAAACTAAGTTGATTGCATCAGTCTTTATATGATAACTATCTCAAGAAGAACATTAAAGTTTGATCAAAATAAATAATAAACTCACTTTGGGAAGTTTCTCTTTAATCAGTAAATTCCTGAAAATCGCAAGAGGGAAATGCATCAAATAATATACCCTATGTCAATGTAATCAGACGGGACTAGTTGTAATACTTGCTGAAATACTGCATCTGAGTAACATTCACAGATTATTTTTAACTGTAAATTGAATTAATCCACTCCCTATCATTTCTGACGAGTTCACAGTCTCCAATGGCGGTTCAAGAAAAATTACATAAGGGTGGCCAGGCAGGGACTAATGTGCACTGAGGAGTGGCATGGAAATGAATGGGCACCAACCCTGTTGTGTCAACCTACACTGATCACAATGAACCAACAGGAAAATTAATAAAGCACAACATCTATATTTTCCAAATAATTCACTCAAAACAGACCAGATTTTCATGAGGCCATTGTTAATAAAAATATGCACGTATTTATACATTGGAACTGGCTTGAGCTGTTCCTCTTCATCTTTAATTACATAGAAAAAATCCTTGATGATTGCAAAGACTAACTTTTATGTATAAAACATAAAAACTAATTTTTCCTCTTACAGTGCAGCCTATTGTTGTAATTGATTGCTATGTACTTGTTGTTAGTTTTGGTTAATACAGCTACTAACTTTAAAATGCCAAAGTAGAACATTCTCCATGATGGTATCACTGCTGCCACCCCCTGGTTTACAAGAGAACTGCTCGTTCCAGAGTTGGCGAATTAAATCCACATGGGGATTAAAGGTATTGTGGAGGACTTTTGAAATTTTTTTAGAACATTCACTCTCTCCACTTTAAAAAAAATGTACACGGGCAACCCTGTACCTGCTCCTGAGAGGGAACGCCTAGTAAATGCATGCCAGGACCATTGACAAGCCCATTTCTCCTCGTGCACGCTCTGTTTAAATGTTGCTGTTCTTATAGCCCATACAAGCCTAGTGTGTCCGAACTTCCACCCTAACCCTAAATCCCTCAATCACTATATACAGCAGGGACTATATAGTGGACTTTATAGCGAACTCAGTTAACTTACCGTTCAGACAGATTTCTACTTTTTGGTCCATAGGTTACATAACTCCTCCTCCTCCTATATATATATATATATATATATATATATATATATATATATATATATATATATATATATATATATATATATATATATATATATATATATATATATATATATATATATATATATATATATATATATGTGTGTGTGTGTGTGTATATACACTTCATACAAAGTATGAATTGATGACTGATGATGATTCTGAAACATTTTAGTAACAGAAAACTTATTTCAGATGTAATAAAATGTTTAAAAAAAATTACGTTGCAAAGAGAAATAAAATATTTGAGAAGGAAATTGGACTAGTTGTAAACACTCCTTTTCCATTGACATTTCTTTATTAAAACAATTTCTTTTTTTACACATCAGGCTTTTAAATTCTGTTAAAAAAGGAAATGTACAGTAAATTGTTTCACTGAATTTCTGGGCGATTAATTAATTTTATTCGTCCTTACAAGCATGGTCAGTTTTATCCAGCTAGATCTTCACCAGTACCTCTCTATAGCTTTATGGACTCATTTGAACATCAATTCCAGTGGAATCTAAACATTGAAAAGGATTACATCTTTCACAGAGAACAGATCTCTTAAAAATGGAAAAGCAGAAATAAAAACAATCACTACCACATATATTGGGGTAAAAGGGTCGTTGATAGTTCATCACTGAGCAGAAGGAAGAGTCTTTACCAGGTTTCCCTTGCAGGACTTCACTGACCCTTTCAGTCACATTTTCTACACTCTTATTTTAACCAATGGGATGAATCAGCAGTTTTTCTTAAAGATCGTAATAAAGTTCACAGTTGAAACAGTTATATCAATTATTATTAGCGCATATCATCAGTGCAGTGTTAATGGAGTCATGTTCCAAATTGCTCAAAATCATGTGTAAAAATGAATCAAAAATATAATCCTTATTAGGCACTAAGGGATAATTAAGGGCTCATGTCTTGAAAAAGGTAGTTTCAATGCAAAGTAAAAGTAAAAGAACAATATCCTGTTTATATCAACTCAACATGGAATTAAAGTAAAACATGATACAGTCACAGTAAAACTCACATTATCACAGATGTTGTTCATTAACAAATAAAGATATAACAATCTTGCTGAATATTATATTCTGAGAAAATGTCAGAACCATAAGTAGTATTTATTAATTAATAATAACCACATCTATAAATATAAAAATAAAATCAGAGTAAAACAAAGTGATATTTCTGAGAAAAGTTGGTAATAGATTTGTTTTGACTATGTATTAATTAAATATATGGAAGACTGAGAGGAATTCAAAGCTTATGTTAGAACCAATGACTACGTTCAGATCATCAGTATGATTCACCTGTTGTTAGAATCAGACTTTAATCCCTGCAAGTTAAAACTTGCAGGGATTCAAGTTAAAACAGAAAGATTGCACACACCTGTCATCTAAACTTTATTTTATTTGAATGTTGGGAAACAACTGTTGTCGACACAGGCTTTATGACACAACTTCCTCAGTTGATGTCCTCAGAGGTGATTGAGTGCTTGAGTGGCTGCTTTCCTATCACTTCTTTGTTTTCTGTTGACAGATAAGTGTAAAAGTTAAACTACCTACATACCTACCTACATACATACATACATACATACATACATACATACATACATACATACATACATACATACATACATACATACATACATACATACATACATACATACACACACACACACACACACACACACACACACACATACATACATACATACATACATACATACATACATACATACATACATACATACATACATACATACATACATACATACATACATACATACATACATACATACATACATACATATTGCATTTCAGATAAATAAAGAATTTTCATCTGTCAATATGCTCTATCCAGAACTCTTCAAGCTTTATTTTCACCTGGTTTAATTTTGTAAAAACTATTATTTAAGGAACCTTTTGCTATCCGATTATTATTCGAATTCAACGAAATAATAATTGACAGATTAATCAATTTGCAAAATAATCGTTAGTCGCAACCCTAATACATAAATAAATACATACATACACAAGAAGAAGACTATATCAGACTATATTGAAATACCATACTTTGAAAGTAAATAAAGAATAAAAGAGAATAAACTTAAAAGAAATATTTAAAAAAAGGAAACTCACAGATTCCTAAGTACACCCACAACCAGAAGAAGAGCAATTACTGGAAGGATTGCAAAATACATTCTGGAAGGATTCTCTTCGGTTGATGTCATATCAGGGTTTTTATGAATAGCAGGAACTTCATCTGCAAGATATAAATAATAGTAGCAACAATGAGAACAGTATATACAGCTATGATTTTACATATATCAACATAATGTCTCTAACATTGTGTGCTTAAAAAAACATTAGAATAATTTCAAAGATGGCTACAGCAATAAACCTTATTATTACCTGTATTTTTTAAGAAAACAGTTTAATAGAAGAACTGACCTGTAGGTGATATCTGGTTGACTTCTGTAAAGAGAAAGCAATTTACTGTCAGTGGAAACATGTTAATAAAAAAGGGTTTCTTCTATAATAATTATTTTTGACAGCTTTGGGGATTAGCTACGATCTAAATTGTTGAAAAAATTATTAATATTAATAGTGTTAAAAATTAAATAACAGACTTACTCAGATTTAAATGAAGAATTTGATATTCTTTATTCTTATAAAAACGGCAACTGTAGTTTTTGCTGTCATTCTCAGTGATATTCCTCAGAAGTAAAGAGCAGTTAGTGTCGCTCTCATGTAGATAGGTTGTAACCCTGGTTTTGTAGTTTTCCCCATATGTTTTGTTTTCCTGTTTAAATTTCAAAACCAGTGATAGCGGATTTTCAATCTGCCATTTAAACTCTTCCGTAGAATTTCTTTCCTCACAAGTGCATGGCAGAAGGATGTCTTCACCTTGGTTACCTGTAAGACAAACTGTAACAGGAGACAAAACTTATTAACTTAGATGTAACTAATTAGAAAGCAATGTAAACCCAGATTTACATCCAATAAAAACAAAAGGAACATTTAATGTATCATGTTTTACTTATCTGGAAACATGTTTCAGCTCTAAGACATCTGCTGAAATTCTCTATACAGAACTATAGAAACCCAAGTGATATGATACACCACAAGTTCACAATTTCACCATTTCCAACATTTCAAATAAATTAATAACGAATCAAGACTTTACTACATGATGGGTACCATAATTTTTCAAATATTTTCCCTTTCCTACTTCTTATTAAGAAAACTGCACAGCCATTCTTCATGGTAAATGACATGCTTTCTGTCAAAGTGCAATAAGGAGCCAACCAAAAAGACACCACTATTTGTATATCTAGTTACATGTAAATATGGTGCCAGAAATTTTGAGCCCAAAGACAAGAAATAAGAAAAATTGAGCCCCTGCTTTTATATCTAGTATCTACGCGATCCATCAAAAGATATTTTAATGACTAACTTTATAAATTCTGCAATGTCTGGCTTTATGCAGCTTCACCACACTATTTTAAATTGCACAATGCTAGTACAGCTAGTGAATTTTACATCCAGCAGTCTGTATGCTCAAAGAAAGCATACAAGGCGTCACTGGTGTCAGCATTGTCTGTGCGGATTGTTTGGGAGAGAGAACCATAGTAAATGACTAATGCCAGACAAACTGCTCAGAAAATGTGCTGACAGCAAAGATTAATTCCTGATTCAGTATGCAATATGGGGTTTTATGCAAGAGTAAAAGTCAGCGTGAATATATCATAACGGTCATATTTTACAGGCTACATCTCTTGTTTTTGCAAAAAATGCCAAATGAAATATTCCTTAATTTTTCAGAAAAAATGAATGTTGATTAAGAAAAAACAAAAGCATCAAACTGGATTATTTTTATATTAGAAATTAAATACAATATAAAATGGTTATTAAGACATAATAATCAAAATACAACAAAACTGTGACTTTCTGCACAATGCTATATGTAATTTAAAACTTTCACTATAAAACATTCACCTCTTTCATTGAGACAAAAGGTTCCTCTGGAATGGAGAGATGGGTCTGCTGTTGACTCGGACTTATCTGTTTAGGGGAATAAAAAGGAAATGTTTAATACACAAATATATTTACTAGCCCAGGATGCAGACCAGGAAGCAGTCCTAACTTCTCCTCTATAACCCACCATTGCACAATCCTGACAGTAAACAGTTGAACTTTTAGCAATCTTCTGAGCTATAATTTGATAGAGTAAATCATAATATTCTTACACATTTCTATAGGAACAGCACATCTGACAGATTTCCTTTTTGTTTATGTTGATATTAAAACTCCTCAAGCTCAAGGGTTCCCTGTGGAGTACCACAGGGATCAGTGCTAGGGCCATTTCTCTTTACTATATTTATATGCTCCAAATTAGTAGAAATTTTAGATAGAATGGGATTAACAAGTAATTTAATTTAAAATTTTGTTTGTAAACTCAATATTTATTTTGGAGCTAAATATTTATCAAACAAACTATATATTTGATTTGTAAACTAAAAATTGAACTATAAACAATTTTTTTTAAACCAACTTAGTATTCTGTTTGCAAAATCAAGTTAAAAGAAACGTTTAGTTGAGAAAATAAATCTTTAGCTTGCTAACAAAAATATTTTGACTGGCAATCTAAATATTTATTTTTGAATTTAAATTTTATAAATCAATGAATGACATGTTGAAAAAACGTATTTTTCTCTTAAAACATGATAAATAACAATAAATATTGGTCCTAAGTTTTGACTACTTAACTTTACAACTTCTATTGATATGCTGATGATAGTTAACTGTATTTGAGCATATATCCAGAGAAAACTGAATCATCACTAAGACTACAAGCATGTCTTGAAGACATGAAAACCTGGATGACTCTAAACCTTCTGTTTTTGAATGCCTACAAAACATATATATATATATATATATATATATATATATATATATATATATATAGATATAGTTATATCTATATCTATATATAGATAGATATATATCTATATATATAGAGAGAGAGAGAGAAAGAGAGAGAGAGAGAGAGAGAGAGAGAGAGAGAGAAAGATATAGATAGAGACAGAAAGATAAAGACAGGCCATGGGCCTTGAACTCCCTTTATTGGTCCAATAGGTCATTACAATACAAACTCACAAGTAAATCATATACATACACTCATTCTAACAGTCTGAAATCCAAAAAAAATGAAATATTAAAACCCTCACAAACTGAGAGTAAGTTGTTCATCACTTACACAACATAAAATATCTCTACCTCCCCATATACAAATAAACTCTTTTAAGTCTGACACCATCTTATAATAGGAAAACTCTGTCCTAATACATGCAGCTACCAGCCCTCTGAACATCAGTTCAACATCTACAGAACCTTTCCCCTTCATTTTATTTCTCCTGCTGAGCCAAATGCTCATCTTTGCCTGACCAAACAGAAGATCCATCCATCCATCCATCTTCCTCCGCTTATCCGGGGTCGGGTCGCGAGGGCAGCAGCTTAAGAGGGGAGGCCCAGACTTCCCTCTCCCCAGCCACTTCTTCCAGCTCTTCAGGAGTAACCCCAAGGCGTTCCCAGGCCAGCCAAGAAACATAGTCTCTCCAGCGTGTCCTGGGTCTTCCCCGGGGCCTCCCCCCGGTGGGACGTGCCCGGAACACTTCACCAGGGAGGCGTCCAGGAGGCATCCTAACCAGATGCCCGAGCCACCTCAACTGGCTCCTCTCGATGTGGAGGAGCAGCGGCTCTACTCCGAGTCCCTCCCGGATGACCGAGTTTCTCACCCTGTCTCTAAGGGAGAGCCCAGCCACCCTACGGAGGAAACCCATTTCGGCCGCTTGTATTCGCGATCTCGTTCTTTCGGTCATGACCCAGAGTTCATGACCATAGATGAGGGTAGGAACGTAGATCGACCGGTAAATCGAGAGCTTCGCTTTTTGACTCAGCTCTCTCTTCACCACGACGGAGCGGTACAGCGCCCGCTTCACGGCAGACGCTGCACCAATCCGCCTGTCGATCTCCCGCTCCCTTCTTCCCTCAAACAGAAAATTAACCAGACAAATATTACTCTGTTGTGCTACTGACCAAAAATAAACAGTTCATTAATAAAACTGAATCCTAATCCGCCCACCCACTGCTTTAACAATGAGAAGAGAGGAACCAGTCTGGAACATCCGAGCCAGACATGCTGTAGCGTTTCCTCAGCCTGACAAAAGGCACACTGACTCCCTGATCTGTGATCAATACATGTCTGTTCGTGGCCACGGCCCCGTGCACTACCTTCCACTGAAGATCCGCACTGCATTTCTCTATGGGAGCTTTGTACAGGGACCTCAAGCTGCCCAGACAGAGGAAGATAGAGAAAGACAAAGAAAGATAGAGAAAGATATAGAGATAGAAAGAGAAACCTCAAGATAGAGATAGAAAGGGAAAGAGAAAGCCATAGAAAGGAAGAGAAAGATATTGATAGAGATAGAAAAATAAAGATAAAGATAGAGAAAGATATAGAGATAGAAAGAGAAAGATAAAGATAGAGATAGAAAGGTAAAGATAGAGAAAGATAGAGAAGGATATAGAGATAGAAAGAAAAAGATATTGATAGAGATAGAGATAGAAAGAGAAAGATAAAGATAGAGATAGAAAGAGAAAGATAAAGATAAAGATAGAGAAAGATAGAGACATATAGATAAAGATAGAAAGAGAAAGACAGAGAAAGATAGGGATAGATAGATAGATAGATAGATAGATAGATAGATAGATAGATAGATAGATAGATAGATAGATAGATAGATAGATAGATAGATAGATAGATAGATAGATAGATAGATAGATAGATGATAGATAGATAGATAGATAGATAGATAGATAGATAGATAGATAGATAGATAGATAGATAGATAGATAGATAGATAGATAGATAGATAGATAGATAGATAGATAGATAGATAGATAGATAGATAGATAGATAGATAGATAGATAGATAGATAGATAGATAGATAGATAGATAGATAGATAGATAGATAGATAGATAGATAAGGTTGTAGTCAATGATGTAGGAGTACCAAGTGACAGTAACACTGATAAACAAAAAGAACTGAGAGAAGTTGACTTGGAGCAGTGACCCCAGAAACTGGTTTGGTTTGTGGTTTCTCCACAAAATTACAGCTGTGACGTTAGAGATCTCTGTCCAGAAGAATGTAGTCCTAGGAACAGCTTAAATACTGTGCAGGACCCTAAAGCTCCCAGGCCATAATATAACATAACATAATATTTGTATATGTCTTGATGATTATTATTATTAATAATGGGTTAGGGTTAACCCTAACACACACCCCTAACCCCCACCCACTCCCCGGGGACAACGGGCCGCACCGTGCCCCATACATACACACTTAATGCCAGCAACTTTTCAACAACTGTTTATTAACAGTAATTTTTTTAAACACAAAACAGAACAGTATTGGTTGTTTATTTTTAATTTTCAATACTTTCAATCTTGTAGCCTTGAACACCAGTTGTGCTTTCTGTTTTTCATAGGACTTCACTATACAGTGCACCTCGCCACGGTGTCATCATTCCTCACCATGGCCGGTTCTAGACAGGGGCCAACGGGGGCCAGTGCCCCTGTACTGAAGACATAATACTTAAAAGAAATTCTAATGATCAGATGCACTGGAACAGACAGGTCCTTTGGATGTATTTCATTCTTTTTCTTTACAATACTAATTATTCAAAAACAATAAGGTGATAGCTTCAGTGGTATTGAGATAGGATCCCAGTTTTCATTTGCTAAAGGTTTTTTCCCCCACAAACAATAAAAAAATGCTCTGATTTTTACAGATGAATTTAACAGTTTTTCTTGAGTTCTAATTCAAACTTTATAGAAAACAGTAGTTTTAACTTAAATTAAGTCAAAAATATGTAAAATTCCTAAATGATAAATGTATATTGACCTCATAAGAAATAGAATTTATATTGAACCTAACTGAAAAGATGCCCTGATTGTTTTTTTCATGCTTTTCTGTGCCCCCATGAAAACACCCTGGCCCCCTCCTGGGCCCCTCCTGGCCCCCTGGTAAATTTGGTCTAGATCCGCCACTGTTCCTCACCTTCACTAGACGTGGATATACTTTAGTAGATTCTGCTGTAAAATTAGTCCTATATTTCTGTTTTTTACTCGAGGATTCAAACTCTGCCGTTTCACAGGATGCACAGCTTTGAGCTGTAACTAGGTGACTGTTAGAGAGTAACCAGAAACTTATCGGACTGATCCAATCAGCTCTCTGTTCAAACAGCTGCCTGGAACCCTGGTTGAACAGCGTTGGACCGATACGCTGTAAGGCTTAGAGTAACAGGGCCGTTGCCCCGAGCAAAATTGACATGAAGGTATGAGGTACGATCACTATCAAAATAAGCTAGTACATAACAGCACAGTTGTGTACATATTAGTCAGAAGCAGTGTTAATTTTGTCAACCAGGATGATGTCGAACATATTTCGCCTTTTTCCCGTGACGATGACGAGACGATGACGCACAATTTTTTTTTCCAGAAAATAAAATTTGACAAAAAATATATATATTTTCGCTAACGAGACAAAGACCAGAAGAAGTTAATGAGCCATTGACGAATGGACATTAAGAAATGTAATTGTTTATAATTGTTTTGTAATTAGTAATTGTTAATATATGTGTTTCTTAAGCTTCATAGAAGATTACGCGTTATGGCCTTGTTTGTCCCTACACTGCGCCTGTGTCCCACAGTGCCTCGCACCGCTCAGTCAGAAGTAGCACATTATACTCCTAGCTCAACTTTGCAGTCATGGCGTTGGGCTCAGATAACAGTTTACGTTTTGTTGAATGAGCTGGGCGAAAACAACGCCTGGATGTTTGGAGCCATTTCATATACAATGCGAAGGACAACACCGGAGGAAGGACGCCACCAAAGAGTCTGTGGCTTCAAAATGGCAGGGAAGAACACAACAAATATGAAGCCACATCTGAGGTGCCAACGTGCTGCCATATGGTGGAAGTTAAGGAACAGTTGGGCCTGTAGTAG